TTTAATTAGCTTCTGTTTTGGCTTGGGTACTCGGTAAGTGTTTTTGCTTTAGCATCCTTGCATGTGTGTGAGTGACTGCAATGATAGCATGCTTACCATGAGGTTATGTACTTATATGATATACCTGCCTGAATACCTGTGGGTGAAGGTTGGGTTATTTGGATTGGAACAATTCATCAATTGTGAGTTTTAAGCCCACTAGATAGTAACAAATCACCTTGTTTTTCTAAGCCCACCTGAGGGTGGCAAAATCTGCATTTTAAGCCTACTTGCGAGTAGCAAACCACTTTCAAAACAAACATGAGATGTGTTGTTCCAATTCAGGCGACTCAGTCTATACTTGTATGCTGTGCGCATCATAGAGTAAATCTAGGCTAATAACCGGAATAAGAACGCATAAAGTTTTCAAAAATAGATATCATAGTTAGTAGAGGCCGATCTTTGATCGGGCGAGCGGGGGTGCTCACGAAGTGGCCTTCCCCAATTGTACCCGAGTTTTCGAGCCGAGGCAACTTTGGTGATGACGGACACGTGGCCTTAGGCAACGAGTCAGGGTTTCCTAAATTTTTCAAAATAAAATATTTAGGTGGCGATTCTGTATCTGGCAAAGCAGTCCATGTTTGGCACTTCTTTAAAAAAAAAAAACTGTTTTCAAAAACGATTTGCCAGATTTGGACTCTCTGATGATTTCATCGGTCTTGCATTGCACTCTGCGAGATTAGATATAGGACCGTGACATTGAGTCCTGAACTGTAGTGAGCCCAATGAACAAAACCAGGGGGGGATCTCCCTCCCGGGACGTTCGGGGACGTCTACAAATATAAAGACACAAAAACACTCATTTTATATTTTTTTTATAATGGTTCCCAAATTTGGCAGAAGGACGGTGAAGCGAAGACCAAAAACTCAGTTCAATTAGTTTGAGAAAAGACAAAAACGTATGCTGTTTAACTTCTTGTTTTAATAAATAGGGATTTAATTGAAGATGCAAAATGATATAGTTTTGTTATAATAAATTAGGAATTAATGTAAACCCTAAAAGCAAAATTTATTGTATGTTAATCCATGCTTTACTATTTTCTTCTAGTAGTTTTGTTTTATTCGGAATCTATAATATGTTCTTGTAATTTTGTTAATCCGGAATTTATCTTGTAATCTGCGAGAGTCAAGCAATTGGATTTACTATTCGACAAACATGGCGTATCCAAGCCCATCTAAGATGAGCCAAACTTAGCGAGGTCCACTAGCCTCAAATGATTCATTGCCGAGTAAATCTAAATGGTGTCCGAAGTGCAATCTAAATACAAGATGCAGTGTGTTGAAGTAGAATAAGTAAGGGACCTCAGCATAATGATCCACTTGAGTTGGCCTAAGCTGTCCCTTCCCCGAAAAGGGATAGAGGGATGGGTTCTGATACGATAATGATCAAAAGTTATAGGAAGAGATATCTAGTAAAATGTCTATAGAAGGAGGTGAATGGCGAAAGGAAAATGTATGTTCTGATAACTTGTACTTTAAGAAATATAGGGACTTCTTCCTCTCTTGAAAAAAGACTAACTTAATCGTCGGAGTGTTAATTCCGGCACATCAAACCGGAGTATTTTTTCTGTTTCAGGCAGTAGAACAAACATCTTTCAAAGGCTTGTTTGAAGTGAAGAAGTAACGCAAAATTGCCCCTCACGTAATCTATATTCCATGTAATTTATTTTCAAGTTTTGTATCTCTTTTAAGAATTAAAAACAAGATTGTTTTATATTTTATATTTTATTTTTTCTATTTTATTTTTCAATTATTATGTAAAATTACTAACAATTTTTTTCTGTGAATGTTTTAAGCACACAAAGGGAGTTGCACCCCATGTTTTGTGTAATTAATTTTGGTCATTTGAATTGAATTGTAATTCCCTCCAAAAAAAAGAGATAAAAGGGTGGAGATAGAAAGAAAGAAAAAGAAAAAATGTAATTGGGAGAGAGAAAAAAAAAGAAAAAAAGAAAAAAGAAGAGATGGGGGGTTGGTCCATGTGTTAGTGCTCTATTAACATTTGATTAGTTAATGGTTCGAGGAATGCATAATAATTTTCCCTTAATATGGGATTCCATTAGCACGAGCTTAATCAATTGAAATGGGTAAGTGCATAATGTGGTGGACCAAAGTATAATGAGTAATATTAGAGATTTTAGATATTTTATTAAATATCTTATATGGGTGTAGAGTTCAAATAAGACTCATATGGTGTGAATCTCATGCCTATATAGTACATTTGCTAGAAATTCTATATTTGAAATCCCTAATATTTTCCAAGTACAAGTTCCCCTGTTGAGTAACAATGGTCAGCAACAAATCTGTGCCGAGTAAAGTATCTTCAATGGTGTAGTTAAAAAGTGATAAAGATGAAATTCATTTGTACGTGTTAGTGTTTATTAATTTAGAGCGTAATAGTATATTCCAATAGTATAATTTGAAATTTGTTAACGTATGTATTATGGCTTCTTTTGGGAAGAAAATAAAAAGGTAGTTTTTAACTTTTTACTCATTTTGAGTCGTATCAGCTCTTACATTTTTTACTCACAAAAAAGACAAAATAGATTAAAAAATTAACTTTTTACCAACTTCTCAAAATACTCCTATGTAGTAATAGGATCCACTAAAATGTATATATATAAAATAAAAAGTAAAAAAAGGACAATAATTGAGGATAAGGCTTAATTATATCTAGCAATAGGACCCACTAAAATGTATATATATATATATATTAAAACGTAAAAAAGACAACAATTGAGGGTAACTGTTAATTATTTCTAGTCTGGTTTTGAACTGGACCGTATTGGGAGGCCTATGTGGGTTCACCACAAAACTCATATCGATAATTCGAATCGTTTAATGTGTATAACTTGTCAAGTACTTCATTTTTTTTAAAAAAAATGACGTTTATCATATCGACTATTACTTCATCATATCACATTTTTGTTAATAATTTTTTTAAAAAAAAAAAAATCATACTGAACGTTGATAGAAATATGATCTGATTAAGTGACTATCACTATCCAATCGACGTAATTTTTTGTAAAGATGAAGTACTTCATTTTTGAAAAAAAATGATGTTTATCAGATATCGACTATTACTTCATCATATCACATTTTTGTTAATAATTTTTTTTTTTAAAAAAAATCATACTGAACGTTGATAGAAATATGATCTGATTAAGTGACTATCACTATCCAATCGACGTAATTTTTTGTAAAGATGAAATACTCAACGAGTTCTACACACTGAACCGTTCGGATTATCGATACGAGTTCCATTGTGAGCCCATGTGGCCCAATAGTATGATCTAGTGGACTGGACACAAGCCACACACATAATTAAAGCCTTATCTGTAATGGATATGCTTCATTATATTATCAAATGGTTAGTTTAATAATCATTTTAAATTTAAAATAATTATAAATTTACATTTTTAATTTATTTCCATTAGATATGTAATCGAAATTTTCCATTACATACACGAAATGGAGACGATCAAAATCCTCTTTTCCTCCTTCTCCGTCTCCTTCCCTCTTTAAGTGCCTCACCAACAAGAAAAATGATGTATAACTAAAGAAATGATTTTTTAAAAATGATTTTTAAGTGAAATGATGTGTTAATAACTAAAGGAAACATGAAAATAAATAAATAAATAAATATCACATGAGAGTGATGGATTATTTAATCATTTGATTTGAAAAGTAAATCTAATTTTTGAGTCAATACAACCCTACTCATTTAAATTTGTAAGAAAAATGATATATAAGTCTATTTTTTAGATTCATTTTCTAGACTTAACGATGTATAAGTAATATAATTAGTTAATGATTAGAAAAATATGAAAGAGAGTGTTACCTTATATATCTTAATTGATTATCACATCATTAAATTTAAAAATTGAGTCTAATTTATGAACTTTTATAGTAATGCCCAATTTGTAATTGAATAGAGTCCGACTTATATAAATTGTGTTTGATAAAAAATTAGACAAAACTTTTAAAAATTTTGAAGTTTCAAATATTTAAAAACTCTAATAAAATTATCAATTTTTTTTTATTAAACACTCACATTCATACGAGACACACATGAGTATAATGTGGACCAGACATCTTTATGAATGGGTCATGCTCCGGAACTCTAATTAGAGCTGCAAAAGGACAGCTCTAATGAGCTGTCAACTAATAAATATAAAAAAAAAAACAGTGAAGTAAAAGACAAAAAAGATGGAAGAAAAAGACAAATAATGCTCTATTAAAGCTCTTCTTTTAAAGGTCTAAATCAATTTTTTGCTTTATGAATATTTGACAAAAAACATTTGGTAATTAGCATTGCTCTTTCTATAAATATAGGTATAGGTGAGCATGCATCAAAAGTAAAACAACTCACACCAGCACCACTGTTAATTGCAGAATTCTTTGAAAAAATAAATATGGAGAGAATAATTGACAGAGCAAACAGGCTCTTTGTTTTCAATTGTATTAATCCTTACGGGGAGACTCCATTTTATAGGAGTGATTATACAACATTTGCAAGACAATAGAATAAAAAGCTACTAGACAACATAATGAAAGGCAACAATCATAATGAAAGGCACAACATATAAAACTAAAAGTAGCCGAAAGGAAATGGCACTAACTAAAGCAAATTGCACTATCTAAGGCATCTGATGACTACTAATGACACACAAATATAATATATACATTATATATATTATATATTATTAATAATGAAAAGAAGCTTGATTTCAAACACTCCCCCTCAAGCGACGTTGTAGATGTTAATCATTCCCAATTTGTCCGTCAGATCTTCAAAGCTAACTCGAGCAAGAGCTTTTGTGAGAATGTCAGCCTTTTGGCTCTTTGTTGGAGTGTAGCTGACTTGAAAAACTCCTTCTTCAATCTTTTCCTTGATAAAGTGTCGATCTATCTCCACGTGTTTAGTTCAATCATGATGAACCGGATTCTTAGCGATACTGATGGCGGCTTGGTTGTCGCAGTATAAAACCATGGGATGCTCAGATGGAACCCGTAATTCTTCTAACAGTCTGTTCAACCACAGGAACAACCTCAAACAGCAATTTGTGGTAGTTCTTTTTCGGTTTCGTGTCAAAATAACGATAGAGCAATTATGTTGTGGCACTATCGCTTAGGTCATCCTAATGTTATGTATCTCAAGCATTTATTTCCTTCATTATTTAATAAAAATCCAAAACCTTTTGATTGTGAGATATGTCAATTTTCTAAACATGTACGGTCCCATTTTCCCATACAATCCTATAAAGCGTCTCGTCCATTCTCACTAATTCATAGTGATATCTGGGGTCCATCCAAAATAAAAAATGTAACTGGTACTAGGTGGTTTGTCTCATTCATAGATGATCATACTAGATTAACCTGGATCTTCCTCATGAAAGACAAATTTGAAACAACCCAAATCTTCAAAAATTTTCACATTATGATTCAGACACAATTCCAGTCAAAAATACAAATTCTAAAGTCTGATAATGCTCGGGACTATTTCAACTCCATTCTAGGAGAATTTTTAGCAAAAGAAGGGATAGTTCACTTAAGTTCATGTGTTGACACCCCACAACAAAAGGTGAGGAAGACCCATTGGTTGATAGTCAGAAGGAGTTGGTGAAGGTGTTGGAGAAGAAGGGTGTGGAAGTGAGGGCTAAGTTTGGGGAGGGAGATCATCACACAGTGGAGTTGATGGACCCCACAAAGGCCAATGCATTCTTTGTGATTTTAAGAGATTTCATCTTCAAAACTTGCTCTGCCTCAGTGACTGTGAGTAGGTTGTGAGTTCATCCTTGCGCTAATCCTTTGTCTTCCATGGCTCCTTTTCTTTGCTGATAAAACAAAAAAAAAAAAAAAAGTTGTGATTTCATCTCCAATAATGGAAATGCCGATGAACGTGAAAAGCATGATGATTATGACAGGCAGATATCCTTTCTTTTGAGTACTTTTTAAAATAATCAGTAAAAAATAATTAGTGGACGTGCACGTGTTTTGCACGTGGTACTTTTTTTCATATTTCTTTTTGTGGTTTTTTTTTTGCTGTGATTTTTAGGTTTTGTAATAGTTTTATTTTTTTGAATCATTTTGTTATTTATTTTGTTAATGTTTAATGTTTAGTTTAAAAGTCAAAGTGTTTGAATTTTTGAATATTTGATGGGTGATATATTTGTTCGTCCATTAATATAATTTTTTATATTGTTTCTGATATTTTTGAAGTGTTATAATGTTCAATGATCCCTCTTTTAAGAATAATTATTTTTATTGTACAGTCTCTATCAAAATGTTGAAGTTCATTGATAAGGATAAAATCTTTTGAATCAATTTCATTTTCTTGCGTTACTCCTACAAAACAATTTGAGATATGATGAATTGCTATTGATTTTTAAGTTGAAAGAATTTTCAAATACAATGATTTTTTTTTTTAAACCTTGCAATTGAGATGAATCCTCATTGATTGTCTCTTTCATTGTTTCAGTATTATTAGCAGGAATATCATCATCTATAATGGTAAACTTTGCAATATTGCTCTTTCTTCCCATATTTTACTTGAGTTATGGAATGAATGGTGTTTATAATTTTCAATTGTGTGTTGTGTACACAGGAAATATGATTTACATAAGGACTAAGCATGTTTGTATTTAGTCACATAATAATACATAAAACAAAGGTATGAATCTCTATAAAGAATTGTGGAGACACTGACTTATGAAAAAACGGTTGTTAAGCAAAATTTAGTGAGACTGAAATTTTTTTTAACAATGAATTATAACATAATTAAATGGATGAGTTAGTGGTTAAATTTTATATATAAATATATTTTTTTAATTTTTTATTATTGACAAACATATATGAAATAGAAATTTTGAAAAAGTTGAGCCTTGAAATTGGCTCATTTAATAAGTTCATAACCCCTTTTTTTTTTTTTTTTTGCCTCTTGTGATTATTTTATTTTATTTTTTGAGGCAACGAATTGCGTAACCTCTTTCTCTTAAAAAAAATGTCTAAAAAATTAAATAAATGTAGAATAGGCCACAAGGGTTAGTGTTGAGTTTTCTCTCTGCAGGACACCGTTTTAATAAAAATAAAATCAAATTACACAAAATCGAACAAGACAGAAACACTCATGTTATATTTTTTGAAGGTGAAAAAAATATAAAGACATAAAAACACTCATTTTATATTTTTTATAATGGTTCCCAAATTTGGCGGAACGACGGTGACGTGAAGACGGAAAACTCCATTCAATTAGTTTGAGAAAAGGCAAAAACGTATACTGTTTAACTCCTTGTTTTAATAAATAGGGATTTAATTGAAGATGCAAAATGATAGAGTTTTGTTATAATAAATAAGGAATCAATGTAAACCCTAAAAACTAAATTTCTTGTATGTTAATTTCACATGTCCATGTTTTATTATTTTGTTCTAGTAGTTTTGTTTTATTCGAAATCTATAATATGCTCTTGTAATTTTGTTAATCCAGAACTCATCTTGTAATTTGTTTGAGCCGAGTAATTGGATTTACTATTCGGCAAATATGGCATATCCAAGCCCATCTAAGATGGGCCAAACTAAGCAAGGTCCACTGGCCTCAAATGATTCATTGCCAAGTAAATCTAAATGGTGTCCAAAGTGCAATCTGAATACAAGATACAATGTGTTGAAGCCGAATAAGTAAGGGATCTCGGCATAATGATTCACTTGAGTAGGTCCAAGTTATCCCTTTCCCAAAAAGGGATAAGGGATAGATTCTGATATGATAATGATCAAAAGTTACAAGATGAGATATCTAGTAAAATGTCTATAAAAGGAGGTGAATGGTGAAAGGAAAATGTATGTTCTAATAACTTGCACTTTAAGAAATATAGGGACTTCCTCCTCTCTTGAAAAAATACTAACTTGTTCGTCGGAATACTAATTTCGGCACCTCAGACCGGAGTATTTTTCCTATTTCAGGCAATAGAACAAGGATCTTTCAAAGGTTTGTTTGAAGTGAAGAAGTAATGCAAAACTACCCCTCACATAATCTATATTCCATGTAACTTATTTTCAAGTTTTGTATCTCTTTTAAGAATTAAAAACAAGATTGTTTTATATTCTCTATTTTATTTTAACTTATTTATTTTTCAATTATTAAGAAAAATTACTAACAATTTTTTCTGTGAAAAGTACACAAAGAGAGTTGCGCCTCATGTTTTGTGTAATTAATTTTGGTCACTTGAATTGAATTGTAATTCCCCCCAAAAAAAGAGATAAAAAGGTGGAGATAGAAAAAAAGAGAGAGAAAAAATGTAAATGGGAGAGGAAAAAAAAAAAAGACCGGGGGCTGTCCATGTGTTAGTGCTCTATTAACATTTGATTAGTTAATGGTTCGAGCAATGCATAATAATTTTCCCTTAATATGGGATTTCATTACCACGAGCTTTATCAATTGAAATGGGCAAGTGCACAGTGTGGTGGACCAAAGTATAATGAGTAATATTTGGAATTTTAAATATTTTATTAAATATTTTATATGGATATGGAGTTCGGATGAGATTCATATGGTGTGGGTTCCATGTTCCTATAAAACATTTGGTAGAAATGTTAATAAAATATTTTGAGTCCCTAATATTTTTCAAGTATAATTTACCCTATTGAGTCACAACGGTCAGCAGCAAAACTGTGTCTAGTAAAGTATCTTCAATGGTGTAGTTAAAAAGTGATAAAACTGAAATTCATCTGTATGAGTTAGCATTTATTAATTTAGAATGTAATAGTATAATGTAATAGTATATTCCAATAGTATAATTTGATATTTGTTAACGTATTATGTAGTAATAGGATCCACTAAAATGTGTGTATATATATATGTAGTAATAGGATCAATTAAAATGTGTGTATATATATATATATTATATTTAAAAAAAAAGAAAAAGTCAAAAAAGGACAATAACTGAGGGTAAGGTTTATTTCTAGTCTGGTTTTGAATTGGACTGTATTGTTGGACTTATGTAAGACCACCACAAAACTTACATCGATAATTCGAACCGTTCAATGTATATGACTTGTCGAGTACTTCATTCTTGCAAAAAAAATAAGATATTAATCACTATGTTTTTGTTATATAATAAATAAATAATTATACTTTAACTATTGTCTTCTTGCTAGTTTTTACCTATGTTTATAAATTGTATTAAAAGATATTGATAAAACATTTGAATATTTCTTTAGAAATAAAGCTATGAGAGCTACTGCAGCTATCTCGGAAAGGTGAAGAGTTAATGAAAAGCTTTGAAGCTTAAATTTCTTTATGCCTTTTTATTTATTTATTTATTTTTATGTATCAGTTTTTTTAGCCTATCTGTCTCTCTCTGCATTCTCTGAAACCTCTCTTAATTGCTCTTATTTCCTTCTCTTTTACACTACATTGTGTTACTGAATCTAATTACTTTGAATTCATTCTGATTCGACTTTGTACAGGTTAATGAAAAGCGGTTGTACGAGGTGGCTTTCACTGGACAAACCGCAAGATCTGGTGGATGGCAGAGGAGATCTGGGAGACTATGTCCATCTGATGTTTTTCGATGAGGGTGTTTCTGTTCACGGAGTCGGAGAGGAAGCGTTGGATGGAGTTCATCCTCACTCTGACGGTCGAGATTTTCAGTAGACGAACAGATCTGTCCACCCACCACTTTGAACTTCTTCTCCATCTCCGCCCTTTGAATCTTCTTTTTCACGGGCAAAACGTCTCTGTCCACCATTTTCATGGCGTACCCTCCCGATTTGGCGTACGAGGCCCAAGTCCCTGAAATCCAGCCCGCCTTCTGCCGCCAATCGTATGGCCTGCCACAACGAGTCCGACGATCTGTATGGCTGCAGGGACACATTCTCCAACGAATCGGATCTTAGTACCAGATTTTCAAAGGACAGTCGGCGGAGGTAAAGGAAGCTTTAGAGAGAGAAAGTTGGGGAAGTGGATAGAGAGAGAGAAATGGGTTCGGAGAATTGTGATTTTAAACAGATAGATGAGTGGTTCCGAGAGAGAAAATGGGTTTGGAGAATTGTGATTTTAAACAGATAGAGGAGTGGTTCTGAACAATTAAAAATGCGCGTGAACTTTTTTGAGCAAAAGAAATATGGGTGGTTCGGTGATTTTACGAAATTATGTACTTACAAATATACTATTTTTGCACATAGACTTTTGGGTATATGTTTATGTTTTTGCTTTGGTTTTTACTTGATTTCTTTTGTGTTTTGCTCCGTTTGTTTGGTTGGTTATATGAAAGTTCGTTAGTGTGTGAATGATAAGCTTACTCACTAAGTGATTGGAATCTATGATTTACTTTAGACATGTTCTATTGTTGACTCTTTAATCGATTCTACTGTACAGCATGAATACGAGTACAGGATGTGCGTTTAAATATTTTCTTAGTTTCTCTCCTTTATGCCTCTTGTAAAATTTTTACTTTGTTTTGGTGTAAGTTTTGATTTAGATAGACTCTTGTAAATGCCGTTTGGCCTTCTTTAATGATACTTTCTACTGTTTAAAAAAAAAAAAAAAAAAGACTTTTGGGTAAAAGAAATTTAACTTTGAATTCCTTATTTGAACACCTAAAAAATATGTATTAAAATTATAAAATTTTAATATTATTGAATTTAAGTCAATGCTCATTAAACGGTGATTAACATCACCATATTTGTAATTTTAAGAGATTCAAAAAGAAAGAAAAAAAGGGGGGGGAGGGGTATGAATGAGTTTGTAGCAACGATCTCGGTATTTGGGTTTTTTGGTGTAGCATATCTGATTTACTTATAGTTTATTTATTTATATTATTTTTTAGAGTCTATCTCAGATAGTTTATTGTCTGTTGAACGAAGTCTGTGTCAAAAATAATTTAAATAAATTTTTAAAAAAGGAAAAATACTTGAAAGCCGAAGAGAAAGTGCTTTTACTTTTGACATTTTAATTAGTATTGATTTTTTTATTATTATTATTTATTTACAGCAAACTGTACAAAACAGATCCATTATACATGAATTTTTATGGTTGTTCATAAAATATTAATATGTATTCAATCAAACACTAAAGTTTTTGTCCATATACAATACACATCCGCGTTTACTATGTAACTTATGGCCTTTATGATATTGATATTATAAATGTTATAATTAAAACACCTTAAGTCATAATTAAAAAAATATATAATAGATCATAATCAAGTATCAGATGAACATAACTAAATTACATTGTTTTGACTATTTCTTTTCAATTCAAACAATATTTTCAAATAGACTTAGGGGTTGTTTGGAATGATCTAAATAAGTGTATTTTTTATCTTTTTACGAAAAGATGTGCAGAAAAGTAGAGAGGTGATATGATGGAAAAATGATAAAAAGATAAAAAGATAGATTATTTTTGAGTTACCAAACTTGAACTTAATTAGTAAAAAATAATAATAAAGTAAAAACACTCATTGATTTCATATAATTTTATATTTTTTGAAGGTGAAAAAAATATAAAGACATAAAAACACTCATTTTATATTTTTTTATAATGGTTCCAAAATTTGGCAGAAGGACGGTGAAGCGAAGACCAAAAACTTAGTTCAATTAGTTTGAGAAAAGACAAAAACGTATACTGTTTAACTTCTTGTTTTAATAAATAGGGATAATTGAAGATGCAAAATGATATAGTTTTGTTATAATAAATTAGGAATTAATGTAAACCCTAAAAGCAAAATTTATTGTATGTTAATCCATGCTTTACTATTTTCTTCTAGTAGTTTTGTTTTATTCGGAATCTATAATATGTTCTTGTAATTTTGTTAATCCGGAATTTATCTTGTAATCTGCGGGAGTCAAGTAATTGGATTTACTATTCGACAAACATGGCGTATCCAAGCCCATCTACGATGAGCCAAACTTAGCAAGGTCCACTAACCTCAAATGATTCATTGCCGAGTAAATCTAAATGGTGTCTGAAGTGCAATCTGAATACAAGATGCAGTGTGTTGAAGCAGAATAAGTAAGGGACCTTGGCATAATGATCCACTTGAGTAGGCCCAAGCTGTCCCTTTCCCGAAAAAGGGTAGAGGGATGGGTTCTGATACAGAATAAGTAAGGGACCTTGGCATAATGATCCACTTGAGTAGGCCCAAGCTGTCCCTTTCCCGAAAAAGGGTAGAGGGATGGGTTCTGATACGATAATGATCAAAAGTTATAGAAAGAGATATCTAGTAAAATGTCTATAAAAGGAGGTGAATAGTGAAAGGAAAATGTATGTTCTAATAACTTGTACTTTAAGAAATATAGGGACTTCTTCCTCTCTTGAAAAAAAACTAACTTGCTTGTCGGAGTGTTAATTCCGGCACATCAGACCGGAGTATTTTTCCTGTTTCAGGCAATAGAACAAACATCTTTCAAAGGCTTGTTTGAAGTGAAGAAGTAACGCAAAACTGCCCCTCACGTAATCTATATTCCATGTAATTTATTTTCAAGTTTTGTATCTCTTTTAAGAATTAAAAACAAGGTTGTTTTATATTTTCTATTTTATTTTTTCTAATTTATTTTTCAATTATTATGTAAAATTACTAACAATTTTTTCTGTGAATTTTTTAAGTACACAAAGAGAGTTACACCCCATGTTTTGTGTAATTAATTTTGGTCATTTGAATTGAATTGTAATTCCCCCCCCCAAAAAAAAGAGATAAAAGGGTGGAGATAGAAAGAAAGAAAAAGAAAAAATGTAAATGGGAGAGACAAAAAAAAAAAAAGAAAAGATGGGGGGTGGTCCATGTGTTAGTGCTCTATTAACATTTGATTAGTTAATGGTTCGAGGAATGCATAATAATTTTTCCTTAATATGGGATTCCATTAGCACGAGCTTGATCAATTGAAATGGGTAAGTGCACAATGTGGTGGACCAAAGTATAATGAGTAATATTAGAGATTTTAGATATTTTATTAATATTTTTATTAAATATCTTATATGGGTGTAGAGTTCAAAGACTCATATGGTGTGAGTCTCATGCCTATATAGGACATTTGCTAGAAATGCTAGTAAAATATTTGAAATCCTAAATATTTTCCAAGTATAAGTTCCCCTGTTGAGTCACAATGGTTAGCAACAAATTTATGCAGAGTAAAGTATCTTCAATGGTGTAGTTAAAAAGTGATAAAGATGAAATTCATTTGTACGTGTTAGTGTTTATTAATTTAGAGCGTAATAGTATATTCCAATAGTATAATTTGATATTTGTTAACGTATGTATTATGGCTTCTTTTGGGAAGAAAATAAAAATGCAATTTTTAACTTTTTACTCATTTTGGATTATATCAGCTTTCACATTTTTTACTCATAAAAAGACAAAATAGACTAAAAAAATTAACTTTTTATCAATTTTCCAAAATACTCCTATGTAGTAATAGGATCCACTAAAATGAATATATATATAAAATAAAAAGTAAAAAAAGGACAATAATTGAGGGTAAGGCTTAATTATTTCTAGTAATAGGATCCACTAAAATGTATATATATATATATATATATAATAAAGAGTAAAAAAAGGACAATAATTGAGGGTAACTGTTAATTATTTCTAGTCTGGTTTTGAACTGGACCGTATTGTTAGACCTATGTGGGCTCATCACAAAATTCACATCGATAATTCGAATCGTTCAATGTGTATGACTTGTCAAGTACTTCAATTTTGCAAAAAATGACGTTTATCGGATATCAACTATTACTTGATCATATCACATTTTTGTTAATAATTTTTTTTTAAAAAAAAATCATACTGAACGTTGATAGAAATATGATCTGATTAAGTGACTATCAATATCCAATCGACGTAATTTTTTGTAAAGATGAAGTACTCAACGAGTTTTACACACTGAACCATTCGGATTATCGATACGAATTCCGTGGTGGGCCCATGTGGCCCAATAGTATGATCTAGCGGACTGGACACAAACCACACTCATAATTAAAGCCTTATAATGGATATGCTTCATTATATTATCAAATGGAGAGTATAATAATCATTTTAAATTTAAAATAATTATAAATTTAAATTCTTAATTCATAACCATTAGATATGTAATCGAAAAAATTTTCCATTACATACACGAAATGGAGACGATCAAAATCCTCTTTTCCTCCTTCTCCGTCTCCTCTCCTCATTAAGTGCCTCACCAACAAGAAAAATGATATATAAGTTTATTTTTTAGAAATGATTTTTAAGTGAAATGAAGTGTTAATAACTAAAGAAAACATGAAAAAAAAATAAAAATAAATATCACAGGAGAGTGATGGATTAATTAATCATTTGATTTGAAAAGTAAATCTAATTTTTGAGTCAATACAACCCTACTCATTTAAATTTATAAGAAAAATGATATACAAATTCACTTTTTAAATTTATTTTCTAGACTCAACTATGTGTAAGTAATATGATAGGTTAATGATTGAGAAAATGTGAAAGAGAATGTTACCTTATATATCATTATTAATTATCACATCATTAGATTTAAAAATTGAATCTAATTTTTGAAGTTAGGGTCCGTTTGGGAAGAAGATTTGTGGCTAAAATAGCCACAAAAGACAAAATAGGCTATTTTAGCTACAACAAACAAAACATCACATCCAACTCATAATCATTACACTCTTCTCTCACAAAAAAGTTAAAAAAACTAAAAAGACAAAAAATCTTTCCCAAACTAAGTTTTTAACCCCAGATTAAAATAGTCAAAAAAGTCAAAAAGTCAAAAAATCAACCCACTTCCCAAACCAACCCTTATATCGTAATGCAAAATTTGTAATTGAGTAGAGCCCGATACATGTAAATTGTGTTTGATAAAAAATTAGATAAAACTCTTGAAATTTTGAAGTTTCTAATAAAATTATTAATTTTTTTTTATTAAACACTCACATTCATATGACACTCACCTGAGTGTAATGTGGACCAGACATCTTTATGAATATTTGACAAAAAAAATTTAGTAGTTAGCACTGCTCTTTCAATAAATATAGGTATAGGTGAGCATGCATCAAAAGTAAAACAACCCACACCAGCACCATTGTTCATTGCAGAATTCTTGGTGGTGGTTCTCTTACTAGCAATGTCAAATTCCACAGCCAAAGTTTTCGCCTACTTCCCCAATCGTCCTCAACCAGGACGGAACCGCCAAGCGCCTTTTCGAATCCCCAACCTTCCCTTCTGACCCAAACCCTTCTTCTCCCTCTCCTGTCCTCTCCAAAGACCTCCCTCTCAATCCTCTCCTCAACACCTCCTTACGCATCTTCCTTCCCCGCCGTCGCCACCACCACCACCAACCACCGGTCTCCGCCACTCCCAAACCAAAGCTACCTCTCATTATCTACTTCCACGGTGGTGGTTTCGTCACCTGCAGCAAAGCCACCACCGGCTTCCACACATTCTGCGTGGAAATGGCATTCCAAGTTGGAGTAATCATTCTCTCCGTCGACTACCGTCTCGCTCCCGAACACCGCCTTCCTGCGGCCTACGAAGACGCCATGGAAGCCTTGCGTTGGGTTCGGCACCGCTGCGACGATCCATGGATCGCCGACTGTGCCGATTTCTCAAACTGCTTTCTCATGGGTACGAGTGCCGGCGGCAATATTGCCTTCCATGCGGGTCTACGTGCAGCCGCGGAAGCTGATGATCTGGTGCCGTTGAAGATCAAAGGGCTGGTGCTGCATCATCCTTACTTTGGTGGGGTGAAGCGGACTGGATCGGAGCTGAGGTTGATCAACGACTCACAATTGCCCTTGTCTATCAACGATCTTCAGTGGAAACTGTCGTTACCGGTTGGAGCTGACCGTGATCACGAGTATTGTAATCCAACGGTGGCTGGTGAGTCTCCCTCATTGGAGGTGGTTAGTCGGCTGAGATGGAAAGTTATGGTGACGGGCGGTGAGGAAGACCCATTGGTTGATAGTCAGAAGGAGTTGGTGAAGGTGTTGGAGAAGAAGGGTGTGGAAGTGAGGGCTAAGTTTGGGGAGGGAGATCATCACGCAGTGGAGTTGATGGACCCCACAAAGGCCAGTGCAATCTTTGTGATTCTAAGAGATTTCATCTTCAAAACTTGCTCTGTCTCAGTGACTGTGAGCAGATTGTGATTTCATCTTCAATAATGGAACTGCTAATGAACGTGAAAAATAGGATGATTGTGATAGTTTTTTTTTATTATTTTTTAGAACAATTAGTGGAGGTGCACGTTGCGCGTGGTAATTTTATATTTGTGATTTTTATGTTGGGTAATAGTTTTACTTTTTGAATCATTTTATTATTTACTTTGTTAATGTTTAATCAACAATGATTCATTCCTCTTTTTTCTTCCATCCCCTTTGACCCCCTTTCTCTCTCGTTGGTTACATTTTTTTTTTTTCTTGCTCCTCCAATCACCATCCGCCACGTGACAAAGGGGTGAAAGGTGACCCCCAAAAAGAGATCCCAAGCATTATTCATGTTTAATATTTATGTTTAGTTTAAAAGTCAAAGTATTTGATCTTTTTTAATATTTGATCGGTGGTATATCATGTTCGTCCATTACTATAATTTTTCATGTTGTTTCTGTTCTTTTTAAAATGTTATAATGTTCAATGATCTATCTTATAAGGATAATTATTTTTATTGTACAATCTCTATCAAAAGGTTGGAGTTTATTAATGAGAATAAAACCTTTTAAATTAATTTCATTTTCTTCAGTGCCGGCCCGCATTGCCCAACAAGCCTGGCCCCCTCAAAATAGACCTAAAGAAGGGACCTTTTTTATTATGATATAATATAATATATTAGGTATGTTTTAAGTTAAAAAAAAATTAAAAAATGTTCAAATTAACTTAAAATAAATTGACCCATTAAAAAATTAAAAGGCCTATTCAAAAAAATTAACATTGTAATTCATTGAAAATAGACCCAAAAAAGGGTCCTCATATTATAGTTTATTGAAATATATTAGGTATATTTTAAATCTAAAAAAAATTAAGGAAGACCCAAACTAACTTAAAATAAATTGACCCATTAAAAAATTAAAAGACCCATTTAAAATAATTAGCATTGTTATTCATTGAAAATGATTTTGCAAAAAAATAGATTATGCAAGTATGATTAATTTATTTGCTTCTAAAAATGCAAGAAGAGCGAGGATCAAATGACACTAATTAATTGTTGTAATGTAATACTAAGTATTTTTTGTAATTTTGACACAAATTTTGTCTTTTATCTTAATTTTTTTTTTCATTCAATGAAAAAAAAAATGTGAAAGACCCAAAAAATTTATTAGTTGATTATTGGCTTTGGACCCCAGAAATCTCAGGGTCGGGCCTGATTTTCTTGCATTACTTCTACAAAACAAATTGAGATTTGATGAATTGCTATTGATTTTGAAGTTGAAGGAATTTTCAAATACAATGATTTTTTTTTTTTTTTTTTTAAACCTTGCAATTGAGATGAATCCTCATTTATTGTCTCTTTCATAGTTTCAGTATTATTAGGTGGAATATCATCATCTATTTTGCTCTTTCTTCCTATATTTTACTTGAGTTATGGAATGAATGGTGTTTATGTTTTTCAATTGTGTGTTGTGTACACAGGAAATATGATTTACATAAGGACTAAGTATATTTGTATTTAGTCACATAATAATATAGAAAACAAAGGTATGAATCTCTATAAAAAATTGTGGTGACATTAACATATGAAAAAGTGGTTGATAAGCAAAATTTAGCGATACTGAAATTTTTTTTAACAATGAATTATTACAGAATTAAATGGATGAGTTAGTGGTTAAATTTTTTTTTGTATAAATTTTATATATAAATAGTTTATTTATTTATTTTTTATTGTTGACAAACATATATGAAATAGAAATTTTGAAAGAGTTGAGCCTTGTAATTGGCTCATCCTCTAATAAGTTCATAACACCTTTTTTTTGCCTCCTGTGGTCATTTTATTTTATTTTTTGAGGCAACAAATTGCGTAACCTCTTTCTCGTAAAAAAAATGTCTACAAAATTAAATAAATGTAGAATAGGCCACAAGGATTGAGGGTTAAGTTTTCTCTGCAGGACACCGTTTTAATAAAAAAAAAAAATCAAATTACACAAAACCGAACAAGACAGAAACACATTTGAGGCAACAAAATATTTAAGAAAAATTACAAAACAACCTCAGGGCTTGATTATTGTAATAAAATTAATCTTAAATTTTTATTTTTTTTCAATTTAAATCATAAATTTTTGATATTTTTTTTCAATTTGAACCATTTATCTATTTTTATTAAGTAAAAAAATAACAAAAAATGAGTACTTTAATCATTAATTGAATTTAATGATTAGAATACTATTTTTTTCGTTGATTTTGATTAACGAAAATAGTCAAATACTTTAAATTGAAAATAAATTAAGATTATAATTTAAATTAACAAATTTTTTATAATTACCCCAAATATTTATATGTTTATTATACATGAATGATGAAAACTTGAAAATTTAGAGAACTTGGAATTCTTTGTTTTAGTTTTATATATATATATATATATATATTTAATTTAGTTGCTATAGTTTTATTTATATACATTTGATAGTCACATATTATAAATTATTAATTATGTAGATTAGTTGAATCAGAAATTTCATGGAATCACCATGTGAAACTTCTTGCCTTTGGGAAGGGCAATAGTTTGACCGATTATTAAAGATAAGAGACTCAACTCAAAATTGTAACTTCATCTAATTAAATTCATTTATATATATTTGAAATAATAATTTAATGTAATAAATTGCATCTTATAAATCTAATAAAAATTTAATTTAATTTTATAAATCTTACCATCGTTGTATTTTTTTTATTTTTCTTTATTTATAAATTATGTTATCTCCATTAAAAAATAAAAAAATATAAATCTTTCAATTTTTTTAGATTGATTTATACGCAACTTCATTACATTATAGTGATGTGATCATTTGCTAGCCCCAAAATTTTACTTTCTTGTGGTTCAAAATTGGAATACAAAATTTCTTTTAAACCATTATTATTGTAGAAATCTCAAAATTTTATTTCACGTGGTTCCAAAATTGTAAACTTCTTTCAAACTATCACTTTATACTTTTTAATATTTGATTGAAACATTTTTATATATTTTATGCATCTTAATATTTTAATTTAAAATTTATTTTTTGATTTGTACGGAATATTAATAATTAGTTTTTTTATGCAATATTAACAATTTTGTAAATAAATTATTGAGTGAATTAATGATTTTTAATGATATGAGAAATATTTTTCAATAAATAATTTTGATAATTTTATTATTGTATTGGAGAGTAGTTAGATTTTTTTTTTTTTCTGTTTGTTTAGTTAAATTAAAAATTAAACAAAGAGTAGCAATGATGGGAACTTTAAGTGTTTTTAACATTAAAAGCTCACATTCTTACAGATGAGTAGATTAATTGCAAAATTATTTATTTTATTTATATATTTTCATGAAACTCCGTTGGGATTGTTAACAACTTTGCCAGTACCAAGTCCGGGTTAAAGAGGAGGGTTGTGTGTTAGGTAATCGACAACCAACGCGTAAAAAGGCCGCTTGGATCCCCTATGACAATAAATCCTACTTTGAATCGTTTAAATGATAGGTCGTTACCCTCAAGTGACGCATTGCGCCTGCCTCTGGATGTTTTGAAAAGTGAGCAAGAGGCGCAGCATTGACGCCTAAGTGCGGTGAAAAATAGGCAAAGCTTCTCGCGTTTTTCTGGATGAGTGCGGGTTAAGAAGCTAGTCCAAGACTATAGGTTTAGGGTAGCCGCTTAGAATATAGGAACCTTAACTGGTAAGACGATAGAGTTAGTAAATGTTATGATTAGGAGGAGAGTTAGTATATCATGCGTATAAGAAACTAAGTGGACGTGTGAGAAAGTTAGGAAAATTGAGGATATCGATTGTAAGCTGTATTATAGTGGTAAGGATAGACGCAGGAATGTAGTAGGAATCTTAATCGCCAAGGGTCTTGTGGAAAATGTAGTGGCAGTCATTAGGAAATGGAATAGGATTATGTTAGTTAAACTAATTATTTGAGGAAATATAGTGAACGTTATTAGTGCATACGCCTTTCAAGTAAGATTAGATGATCAGACTAAGAGGAATTTTTGGGAGTAAATGGATGAGATCTTACAGGAGATGCCTATATGAGAGAATCTGGTTATAGGTGGAGATTTTAATGCTCATGCAGGCATAGATAAACTAGGCTATGAAATGGTGCATGGTGGATACGGTTTTGGTAACATAAATGAGGCTGGAGAGAGTATCTTAGATTTTGCGCTCGCTTCTAACGTGGTGGTGGCCAATACTGTGTATAAGAAAAGGGAGAAGCATTTGATAACCTTTAAGTGTGAGTCAGTTAAGAGCCAAATAGATTACTTCTTAGTGAGAAAAGTGGACTGCCTAAAATGCAATGATTGTAAGGTGATTCCTAAAGAGAGCCTAACCTCTCAACATAGGATTTTGGTACTAGATTTATGTTTTAGAGAGCAATACCAAGCTAGGAAGGATGGTGGACGTCATAGGACGAGATGGTGAGACCTAAAATGGGATAAATTAGAAATATTTAAGAATATAATGGATAAGGAAGGTACTTGGGACTTAAAAGATGATGCTAACACTATGTGGAACTCGATAGCCAATTGTATGAGGAGAATCTCAAGGGAAGTTCTTAGAGAGTCGAAAGGAGCGGGACCCAAGGAAACTTGGTGGTGAAGGGAAGATGTTCAAGCGGTAGTTAAGGAAAAAAAAAAAAGAGTGCTTTAAAAAGTGGCAAAAGGATAGAACTGAGGAAAACCTTAAGAACTATAGATTAGCTAATAAGAAGGTCAAGAAAGTAGTAAGAGAGGTTAATTTGAAAGCTTATGATGACCTATACACTAAACTAGATAGTAAGGAGGGAGAGAATAGGGTATACAAACTTGCTAAGATACGAGAGAGGAAAATAAGAGATTTTAATCAGGTTAAGTGCAGCAAGAGTAAAGGTTCTAAGGTATTGGTGAGGGATGAAGAGATTAAGGAAAGATGGAAGAACTATTTTGAGAAACTGTTAAATAAAGAACATGGAGGTACGACAATAGGGGAAAAAATAGGCAGCAATATGATAAACCAAGACTATAGGTTCTATCGCAGGATTAGGAACTTTGAAGTGGAGATTGCACTTAAGAAGATGAAATCAAATAAGGCTTTAGGACCAG